GATAAGAGTTTTGAAGTAGTTTTACAGCAACTAAAAAGGACAAAAGGTGAGGTCTAAAGATTTTTAAATGTCTGGGTTTTTTTCTTGCTCCTGATGTTTATAGCCCTTGTGTTTTATTTTTCAGAAACAAAAGCCTGTAAATTTTGCCTTCTCCTCCCCTGCCCTTTTCTAGAAAGAAATGACAGGAAGCTAAATGGTTGTCCCTGGATCTTGTCCACATTGCTCTAAAAAAAAAAAAAAAAAAAAAAAAAAAAAAAAGGAAGGGGAAGGAATTTGATTTGAGGCATTTTGACCAACATTTAGAATGGAACACACAGCACTGTTCTGTTTCTGCCCTTTTCTTAGTTATCCACAAGACCTAAGCCACATTCATGCAATTTGCTCAGCCCACAGCCTGAAATCAATGAGGTCTATGCAAGAAGAGAGCACCTGCCACAGGCTGTTACTGTTTTTATTTATTTTCTGTACTATTGGACCACAAGGAACCCCAATAACAAATATTGTCTGGAGCACTGTGTAAACATCGAACAAAATGATGGCTCTGTCCCAAAGTGGTTACAAACTAAACAGAGGACAAGAGACCACAGATGGATACAAACAGACAGAGGGAGAATAAAGGAAATGAATGCTCAGTGACAGCAGTATTACCTCACTAGCAGCCCAAGAGCTGTCAAAGCTTTCGTAGACCTCATGGCCCAGGAGACTTTTAAGAAGATTCTAAAGAGCTACCAACAGAAATCTGAGAGTGTATATGTAGGGTACTCTCCAAATATGACAGATATCACAGAGGAGAAAACAAGAATGGGCTTGCTTGGAAATGAACACGGGAGGATGGTAACTCCGAACAAATGGTGACCAACCATTTTAAGGTTTTAACAGCATTTAAACATGGGACTTGTCTTCATTCCTGACTGCCTCTAATAGTCACCCCCCCCCCCTTTTTATTGCCCCATACCAATCATATCCACCCACATCCTCCACCAGAAAGGAATATAAGGACCAAGTATGGCAGGGCTGGAAGTCTGCTCACACAGGGCAGTTCCTGCCTCCTGACAATGAGAGATGATAGGAAGAGTCCCAGGGGACCCTGGAAATGAAGACAGGCAGCTTATGTTGATGTGAGATAGGGGAGGGGAGAGGTAGCACAGCGCTGCCAAGAGAAAAGTGACATGTTCAAAGAGACAGGCCAGGGAAATGATCTTTGAAGCAAGAGCAGCCACATGCAGAATGATTAGGGCAAAGGCAAGCCTGCATGTGTCAAGGCCAGAGAAAAGGAAGCTGCACCAACTCAGCTGCTAAAAAATGTGCATGAAGAGGGAAAAAGATGCACCCTGAAAGATTTAGGAATTGGAGGTGGGGCGGTAAAAGCAGCTGAAAGGCTTTACCTGTATTTAAGAGAAGTCAGAGCTGATGCTCACACACAGCTGTGAGTGCCAGACACCATGGCACGCTGTGCACAAGCACAAGTCCACGCAATGGCAGCAAGCAAGAAGTTGAGGTATTTCCCCCCTCTCACCTCCTGTTCCACTCTTTTCTCTGCAAATATTAAATACAGGCAACTATAGAGTAGATGCCTAGGATAAGCCAACAGCTCAGCAAACAATTTCAGTCACATCAATAATTCTTTTCTCTCGTGGCCCAGATCCTGTTCAATATACCCATGAGTGTCTCATCTAACTCAGAAAAATATGATGCCTTTCCTCCATGCTCAGTAATAAACTGCACAGCCCTTGCACAGTTTTCTGCTGTACTCCTGGAATAAGATTACCAGCAAGATTAAGGCCTCTGGTTGTGAGAAGGGAGATTTCACAGGATTAAATGTTATCCAGTCTACTTCTGAAACAGAGGATAAAATACAAGAAAGGACTACGAATTATATTACTGAAAATATCATAGACCATGGTGGTGGTAAAAGGGATAATGAAAGATCGAAATTTTAAATTATATTCATAAATAAAAAGCAACAGGGGAAAGTACCGCAGGGACTACAGTTGTCATCTGTTGCCAGAAGAGGGCACTCCCAGCTTTTTTTTTTTTTTTTTTATGACTTGAGAGATTTAAATCAAGATTTCCCTTGGTAGCATTTCCCAGACATAAATCAAGCACAAATGAATAACCTTTGATTTATCATTCCTAATGGAGATGTACATCATATTGGCGTGTCATCACATTTCAACATTGGCCATTATGATGCCAATCATATAGTAATTTTCTACCGTGTCATAATCAGTGATGAAGATGTACGTTTCCATTCAGTACAATTAGATTTTCATGTTTCTTAATGGTAGCTGAGGGCATTAAGCAGAATACCTGCTTTTGCTCTAACTCTTTTGTACTCATATTTTTCTGAAATTGTATCCAAACCATTACCCAATCACCACTCTTCACTAGTTAAATGCCACCCCTGCTCATATGGGAAAAGGTGAAAAAGACTTAAACTACTATTCCAAGCTGCAGAGGAAGAGCCATTAAAATCCTGGGCAAATACATGGTGTTGAAAAATAACTGGCCTTAATTATCTGAGAGTTTCTTAGCATACTCCATGATATCAGCTTGGGCTTGCCACTACTGACCTAACCCAGGCCACAAACCTCAGTGAAGGTGTTTGGCTGGGCCTGATATCCATCCGGCCGGCCAAGTCCAGTGGTATTGTTGGTATAACCTCTCTGTGAAAACCCAAGCTACAGCTGTTGGCACTGAAACTCTTCTGTGAGCAGAGGCATCCTCCTGGCTGGCTGCATGAATGGATAGATGGGCAGATACGATGTGTTACTGACATTTAGAACAATTCCTGGCCCTCCTGTAAGGGGCCAGTGTATGATGGTTTGGTACCACCTAAACAAGAGAAACAGAAGTCACAGTATTTTCAAAAGCACCTGAGCCTGTCTAAAAAATCCCATTATACAACTGTGGTGGATATTTTGTCCGTCGAACATTTTACTAAACGATGCTCTAGTTTTTGTCACCTTCGCTCTCTGCTCAAATGCAGAGGGGTTACGCTTAATCGCGGTGCGCTGGGGCTGAGAGCGGGGACACCGAGTGGCATCGCTCGGGCCGTGTCACTACACCTTGGCGACACTGCCGAGCTCGCGAAGTGAGCGAGCACAGCCCAGCCCAGCCCACGAGAAGGACGCCCGT